AGAAAAAATCCATAGCGCCCTTTTGAGGGTGGGTTGCATCCTAGGAGCACAAGGTCATGGACACGACCATTGTCGACCAAACAAGTACCTCGGAACCACAGAGATCGACTCCGTCAAAAAGAACGAGAGCGACAAACAAGCAGCCATGCTGTCGGAGCTAGAGGCGATACTTGAGTGAAGGGTAAGTGATAAGCATAAATCTCTAAATGAAGATGTTCTGCAGGATGAAAGTGCTGTAGAAAGGCCTCCGCGGGACTCTTGCCGACTCTATCGAACCAGAGGCTACGGTGGTGCAGCGGAGGTTGTCTGCTCGAGGTGCGGCCAGCCTGATATCCCCGAAGGCGGATAAACAGATGCAAACCATCCCCATGGAACGCAAAGAAGCTACATCTCAGACAGATCCTTGCCATCGAATGGTGGGAGTCCCACCACGAATGCTAGGGGCAGAGCCTTGTTAGAGATCCTAGCAGGCGCAGGATTCATCATCGACCTGACCTTCACGAGCGGTAGCTTGGGACAGAGCTCCAAGTGGAAAATCGTCAACACGTACACGGCCAGCGACCACAAAGCCATACTATGCTCGCACGGCGATTAGCCGGGCCGGGCGATCTTGAGCACTCCCCCTTGCAGGCCGTCACTCCACAAGGAGGGCCGGAGGGCCCGGAGATCTCTACAGTGAACCGACTCGCAGGAGCATTCAAAGCCGGGCATACACGGACAAGCAGAGGGAACCCACTCGGCTATAAGAAACGTGCTGGTTGCTGCTCAGAATCTAGAATCTCCCGGCCCGGACGCGGTGCCGAACCGAACGCTAATGGTGGTCCTGGCCCTGATACCAAAGCAGGTAGCATCGATTTATATTCAATGCTTAAGGGAGGGATCATTCCCGAAGGTATAGAAGAAGCAGAGACCCGGGGTGGTTGCGTCTTACCTACGCATCTGCCTCCTCTACCGTAGGCAAAGTGCTGGAGATGATTCTGGCCACGAGACTCCAGGCGGCGATAAGAAATGAGGGCGGATTGGTAGAAGAACAGTACGGGTTCCGGAAAGGGAAATCGACTGTGGATGGCATCTTGCGCGTGAAGAACTTGTCAGCAAGCGCCATCTAAAACACCAGATAGGTTGGTGGAGCCAAACAATACTGTCTAGTTACCACCCTGGAATGCCTTCAACACGGTGAACTAGTCGCGGGCTCTAAAGGCGCTGAAGAAGCTCGGGTCCCGGAGCACCTGCTTAAGGCCGACAGCTACGGAAGAAAGCGGACGGGAAGGACAAAAAGAACGCGAGGTCTCCGCAGGAGTGCCACAGGACTCTGTTTTGGGGCCGCTCCTGTAAGATGCAGTCCTCCGAATACCTATGATTCGCCGATGACATAGCTTTAGTGGTGGTGCCGAAAACTGTTCGGGAGGTGGAAGCCTAAAAAAATTGAAAGTAAGGTGAGCCCTAGCTGTCTAACATCAGAGGCCCGAGGCCGGAAAGGTGCAAACTCATTAACAGCGTTGTGAGCTCCCAAATCTTATACGCCGCCCCAGTGTGGGCAGAGGCGATGAGAGTGAGGTCCTACGGGCGAGGCATAGAGGCAGACTACCGCCTCTGCGCGTTACGCAGGTCCTGCGCCTTTAAGACGTTCTAGAACGACGTGGTGCTCGTGATCGTATGGCTGATACCCATCCGAGAGCTGATACGTCAGAGGGCAAAGCTGGTCAACGTGGCTCAGGACAGCCATTCATTGGCGGCCAAGAAGAGGGTGGTGAGAGCCACAAGCTTGGCCACCTGGCAAAGGTGATGAAAGGAATCACCTAAAAAAGGCTGGACGTTTCGACTTATCCCGGACGTGGTTATCCTGAAGTGTGTGTGGAAGGGATGGGTAACAGGCATAATATAGTCTGGAAACTCAACTATAGCCATTCTTTTTGTTTTTTTTTTTTTTTTAAATGCTTCATTTAACACTATGGCAATGAAACTGTATTAAATATTAGAGAGACGAAAGATATACTGTATTTGTGTACAAGTAGTAATAAGTAACAAAGGAAAAACAAAAATTAAACGCGTAAATTAAAATAAAAAAGAAAAGTGACTGTAGAGCCTCCCCCTCCATCCTAGCCGAATTTGAACATGGGCCCACAATGCGGCTACATAATGCTCTACCAATTCGCTATTCCAGATGAATTTTTCTGCAGAGAAATTTCAGCTTTCACTTCGCACACCAGCAGAGCACTATACCACTTGACCATTCCTGACTCGTCTTCGTAAAATTTCTTAATCTTAGCTAGTTGCTCTGTGGAACCGGCACGTTTCATCAGGAACCCCCCATAGGAACACATTCGTTTCAATGAGATTTCCCACCCATGTACTGTTCCATCTTTGGTCAAAGATTATAAAGTACATAGATGGGACATCTCATACAAAGAAAAATTTTCTACGGCGGGTTCTAGCATTAAAAACAAGAAAGGAATGCTAACTTCGGGCGGAGCCGAAGTTGATATACCCTTGCAGTTAAAACCGGATATATATCGCAAACATCGGATATAGTTGGCCGATCCTTATGGGAATAGGAATATATAATCCAATTTATTACAATACAAAATCTAAAAAAAGTCCCAAACTTCTATCTTCAAAAATACGAAAGTTGATATTTCTACCAAATACCATTTCCGATCGTTCAGTTATATGGCAGCTATAGGATATAGTCAGCCGATCCTAATGAAATTTAGTAGGTCGGATCAACTGACCAAATATATAATCTGTACCAAGTTCCAGCTTTCTATCTTCAAAAACACGAAAGTTGGGTCATTTCCGATCGTTCAGTTATATGGCAGCTATAAGATATAGTCGGCCGATCCTTACGAAATTTGGCATATCGTATTATTTTGCCAAAAATAGCTCTCATGTCAAATTTGAACTCTCTAACTCTAAAAACACCAGTTATACCATTTCCGATCAATCAGTTATATGGCAGCTATAGGATATAGTCGGCCGATCCGGGCCGTTCCGACTTATATACTGCGTGCAAAGGAAAGAAGGGTGTGTGCAAAGTTTCAAGTCGATAGCTTTAAAACTGAGAGACTAGTTTGCGTAGAAACAGACAGACGGACAGACAGACGGACAGACGGACATGCTTATATCAACTCAGGAGGTGATCCTGATCAAGAATATATATACTTTATAGGGTCGGAGATGTCTCCTTCACTGCGTTGCACACTTTTGACCAAAATTATAATACCCTCTGCAAGGGTATAAAAAGGTAAAACGAGTTCAAACCAGGCTCGTGAAATTCTTTTTTTTTAATCTATTTTTTTCTTTAAATCTATTTTTATTCTTTTAATGAGTTTTTCTAAATTTTTAATCCAATAAAAAAAAAAAAAACATTTTAAAATCACCTTAACATCGTCTCAGTTCGTAGTGATACCCGCTTTAAAAATGTCTATAAGTGCGGGTTCTACGGCATTTTGGCAGACCGTGTCGTGGAACCCGCTCTCAAATGTTTTCATTTTTTCCGTCGTGGAACCCGCTGTAAAAATGAAAACATTTGAGAGCGGGTTCCACGACAAACGGCTGGCAGATGAGAGAGGGAAAGAGAGAATTCTATTTTTAGATCGTAACATCTTTGGAACGATGAAACTTTGAAACGTTGTAATCGAACCAATGTGAGAGCAACGCGATCAGAAATATCTTCTACTATCCTTACTCTTCAGCTCTGTTTTTGGTATGGATTCTAGCGCTTAGTTTTAAACCAATTTTAAGTATCAAAAGATTTGCTTCGAGGGTAGCCTAGATGGGTAGTGCGCGTTCCTTATTCTTGGGGTCCTGGGTTCTATTTCATTAGTGGGCGGTTGTTTCATGTTTTTAGTCTTATGATTATTTTTATATTTACTATTATTTTTGTATTAATATTTTTTTTTACTTTTCATATTTACTTTATTATTATTATTTTTTAATGCATTCTAGTACAATTGTTGTAAAAATAAGTGACGGACGTGTCGGATGACAAAATGCCGGACGGACTCCCTTGAAATTTTATTAGCCGGACATAATGAAAAATTGAACAATTTTACAATTGTAAAATTAAAGAAAAATAATAATTATAAAAGAAAGAAGTAATAAGTCCTTACGAGGATTTGAACACAGAAAAATTATACATAGATTAACTACTCTATGCTCTACGCTACCACCCTTAACCTGCAGCGATTAAAAATACTATTTTTTCTACTAACTACCACATCGGCGCATTGAAAACAGAAACGAGAAATTGAAATTTGGAAGCCAAAACATTTTAACGCCGTCGTGCGAGCAGTCACACATACATACAAAGGCTCACATTTTTGTTGACGGATACATGTAAAGCAGAGGTCGGCACGGCCCTATCTCGGGGGCATAGGAAATTTCTCTGCCCGAGCTCTGCCACACACACACAGTATAAATGTGTGAAAGGTCATGCTCAAAGCCTACTTTCTGGTATTCGTTACTAACACTAATGCGGTAAAATCATATCAATGTATTGGGGTGCCGACCACTGATGTAAAGAGTTCTAAAAATAGAATCGTATGCATGTACGTTCCCCCCTCAGCAACAAGCTTTTTCGTCGAGCTGACCGTTTGGGCCCTGATGTCCCATCTATGTATGTACTTTATAATTTTTGCTTTGGTTCTTGTCTAGGCTAAACCACTCCAAACTCTGTGGCATGGCGCACATTTTTCAGTGGTTTAGAGCTTGACATTTCACCATATCACTAGGACTTTCTTAGCACCCCTGTATAACACCCTCCAAGCGTTGATAAAAAATTTGAATTAATATTAATTAATTTTATTAATATTATTGTTTTGAATTCTAATTTGATTTTTTTTTAATTAGCTCCTTTAACTGAAGGTCTTATCTAGGGAAGAAGAGAAGGTATATCAGAGATTATCACACTTATTTAATTTGTGTATTATTTATGAAAAACTATCGTACGCATTTTAAATATGTGTACCTTCATTTTTATAAATTAGGATTACGGCAGGTTATTTAAAAAAATTTAATTTTTTCTTTAATGCACATGTTAATATTACAGTTCATCTTTTTCAAGCAATGTGTAACGATGCTTAGAAGGACCCAGTTCTTTGAATTTTGACTCTGGGGGCGAGGTTCCTTTTCCGGTGTGCGGGTCAGGTTGAACATCATTTGTGGGATCCGGCCCGTAATGAAATTCCCTGAAGAAAAAACCAATATCATGCTTAAAAGACATTTTTATTTCAATTATTATTACCTATGCAGTTTTCCGCTGTAGAGATCTTGTAGAAATTGGTAAAGCTTGCCAGGCGTGTACATATCGCTAAAGTGCGGAAACAGATACATATGCTTGAACGAGTCTATTGCAATTAGAGGTAAGTCATCCTCAGATTTGCCTAAATGGTGGAGAGGATGGGCAAATCTTTTTCCATCGGCTGTTAAAAAGTTAACGTTCTCTGCAGGATGCGTTTAATGGTTAAAGTAAGCCTTGATTAAATAAAATTATATGTTAAAATCATACGTTTCTCATCCAGCAATTGTCTTTCAATAATTGACTTGTAATCCTTTATGGAGTTAAGATCGTCTGGCCGGTGGAATAAAATTAAAAATGGCAAGCCTTCCTCAGTAAGTTCTTCAGCATTTTCAAAGGTTATTTCCCGCACCAATGGCACACACTTCTCTTGTATCCAAATTTTGAGTTCATCAAAGTTTTGTAGGCTTCCGGTGTAGGTCTCATCATTTTCGTGTGATAAAGCCACATCGGGTCTAAATACTATGATTGGTGTACCTTTGGCCACAAAAAATTTTAGTGAGTTACATGATATATAAACGTATAAATAAGTTTTGCTCACCTGGTGGATGCATAGCCTGGGCAACGTCACCAAATCCAACGTGAAATTGACAATCTTCCTTAAGGTTAGTGGCAACTTTACGGAAAATGTCATATTCTGGTTGATCCCTGCGATCAAAGTAGCCCAGAATGAGACGTTTCTTTGAGTCGAGATTCTCAAGATCTTTTAAAGACTTAAACTCCTGAATAGGATCCTCTAGCTGCTTCTTGACAAACTCAAGAAAAGCATCCGCCGAACGCTGTCCTCGGTATTCGCGTTTGCTGAGCTGCCCATTACGAACTATTTTTAGGGTAGGATACTTGTTTATATGGAAGCGTGACGCTATCGAAGTTTCTTTATCGCAATCTACTTTTCCTAGTACCACCTTGCCTGCTTCTGGAAACTCAGCTTTAATCTTGAAACATTTTTAAATTTATTATTTGTCTAATATTTTAAGCAGCCAATCTTAAGTAGTTAACACAATACCCATTTTTCAAAAGCTTAGAATCACTTACCTTATCTGCAGCTTCACTGAATATTGGCGCTAAAATATTACTAAAACGGCACCATTCAGCATAGAAATTAAGAAAAACCAATTCATTAGAAGCTGAAAGATACAAAACGGATTTGTTTTTAGCAATAGATTTTTATCATTCTCCACATCTTCCTTGTAACATACACAAACTTAATTTTTAGCAAAAGTGTAAAATTAATTTTTTTGGGGAAATTAAAATGTTTGGTTATTTTAATTTTATAAATTATCTTAGATACTGCTTGCATAAAACTATTTAACATTTTAAAGCGCCCGAAAACAAAACAAAAAACAAGAAAGGAAAGCTAACTTCGGGCGGAGCCGAAGTTGATCCCTTGCAGTTGAAACCGGATATAGTTGGCCGATCCTTATGAGAATATATAATGAGAATTATATAACCCTATTTATTATAAAATAAAATCTAAAAAAAAGTCCCAATCTTCAAAAATACCAAAGTTGGTATTTCTACCAAATAACATTTCCGATCGTTAAGTTATATGGCAGCTATAAGATATAGTCAGTCGATCGTTATAAAATTTGGTAGGTCGGATTAACTGACCAAAAATATAATGTGTACTAAGTTCCAGCTTTCTATCTTCAAAAACACGAAAGTTGGGTCATTTCCGATCGTTCAGTTATATGGCAGCTATAGGATATAGCCGGCCGATTGTGGTCGTTCCGACTTATACTGCGTGCAAAGGAAGGAAGGGTGTGTGCAAAGTTTCAAGTCGATAGCTTTAAAACTGAGAGACTAGTTCGCGTAGAAACAGACAGACAGACGGGCATGCTCATATCAACTCAGGAGGTGATCCTGATCAAGAATATATATACTTTATAGGGTCGGAGAGACATCACTGCGTTGCACACTTTTGGAGAAAATTATAATACCCTCTACAAGGGTATAATAAAGTTAACTTCGGACAAAGCCGAAGTTGATGAGTTAAAGAAGTTAAAATCGGTTACAGTTAATATTTTGCAAATATCGGATAAACTTGGCTGATTAGAATAAAATTGTCATTAGAAACCTAATTTCTTAGAATAAAAATTTTAAAAAAGTCCCATGCTTCGATAGAAGCTTCAAAAGTACCAAAGTTGGGTCATTTCCGATCGTTTAGTTATATGGCAGCTATAGAACTATGATTTAGATAAGTGGGGTCAACACAAAAACATTCACAAGTTAGACTTTCATTTGGTTCAAACTCGTAAGCGGTTACTGGAGAAACCCTTATTCTCCAGTAAGCGCACGACCGTTTACAGCATAGATGGGCCAGAAATCTAACGGTCGGAGCCGCAGCTCGGCCAGACAACAAATTACAACAACAACCACCACGATGGTTGCGATGGTTGTCGTCGCGTGGTGCGCAAACACACCCTTAATAATTGTTGTTGAAAACTCCTGCTACCTGCCTCGGAATTTATGTAGCATTGTTTTTGTAAATCTTCACGGCTCACTGACCGCGCGACTCGATCGTCTGCCTCGATTTGCTGGCGCCAAAAATTACGAATAACGGGGGGAGCCTTAAGAGCCCGAGGAGCCTTGGGCTTGCCCATCTATGGTTTACAGTATCGGTGTGCACGCTGAGGCCTGGCAGCGAAAATTACATGTGATAGGGTTTTGGGCACCGCTGATTTAGATCTATGAACTTGGTTGGGTAGTATCAGTTGGCCAAAAATATCCCTTGAAAATCCTATCACTCCAACTATAAAAACAAAAAATTTATGATCAATTAATTATTTGACAGCTAAAGGTTATAGTCGGTCGATCCCTTTATTTGGCAAAATGGTTCTTCATGACTAAAACGTAAAGAACCACAGCTTTATAGGGTCGGTGCTGCCTCCTTCACTGCGATTCACATTTTTGACCAAAATTATAATTCCCTCTGCAAGGCTTTCAAAATTTACCATCCCGGAACACAGAATCGGGTCTGACTGTAAAAAAATTTTTTTTATTGGTTTTGATCTTTTATTTATTTTTTTTTTTTTTCTTCCCGTTTTTTCAGAATTTGGGAAATGGCTTGTGCACGATTTACAAACGATTTATAAGTATTTGTTAAGCTATTTGTAATTTATTTAACTAAAAGGAGTTAGTAGGGAAATTTTAAATTTTAAATACTAGATTTTATATTTTAAGGACAGGAAAGAGATTTTATAGAGTATAAACCATTGTAGTTTAAACATAATACCCTAAAAGGGTCGTGCTGTGCATATATCGAACTACAATGGCTAAGTAATAGGAACCAAAGTTTCTAGTCCTTCTATTGGTAATGTTAAAATGTAAGCGTTTAAGTAAATGCTGGATATCTACATCTCCATTGATTTGGTTATGTAGAAAAACTACACCCAACATTGTCCAATGATTAGTTAAGCTTGGTAAGTTTATTAGTAGGTGTCTGCTACTAAAGCATGGAAGAGAAAGATTTGCATCCCAGTTAAGACCTCTATGTGAAAATGTTAAGAATTTCCTATGCAGTTCTGATGTATAATACTCCATATTGGGGACTCCCAGACAAATGAACCGTACTCCAGTTCGGACGGACTAAAGAAATGAATAAGCTTTTAGTAATGTAGGGGTCGGTAAATTCTTTTGCCCACCTTCTAATGAAACCAAGAACACCTTTAGCCTTATTAACCATTGTGGAAATATGGTCGGAAAATTAAAGTTTAGAGTCTAATAGGATGCCGAGATCATTAACATAAGTTAATTTCTCGAAGGCAATCCCATAGAGAGAATACATAGCCTGCAGAGGGCAGGAACGATAAAAAGACATAAGCTTGCATTTAGATCCATTAAGTATTAAATCATTTGCTAAACACCATTTTTGAAAGTTTTCAAGATCGGACTGAAGATTGTATTGGGCAGACATGGATTTGTACCGAAGACAAAGCTTGTATCTGCATACATAAGAACTAGAGAGTTCGTTAAGGGGGGTATGGGATACATTTTATTTTAAATGATTTTTTTTAAACCGAATGTACAACTATTGAAGAATGTTGTCCCAAAATTTCAGCTCATTCGGAGTTAAACTTACTGAGATATGACCTCAAACACCGAGCCCCTTTGAAAACCGTTGAGCGTGTCGAGCAGGTAGTAGCCCAAAACATTGAACGCATTTTTCTTGAAGACCCTTTTTAAAGTCGGTGTCCACGATCACTCAACTCAAAAAGTTAGCATACTTGTAGAATCGATTCCCACCCAACGGTCCCATTTGATTTATTTTTTGCTTCTATTCGATTTTATAGCTAAAAACGCACTTTTACCTTCACTGACCGTTGAAAACATGATAAAAATTTTTTCTTTAAAAGGGCAATGTTGGCTGGGAGATATACTTCTAAAGAACTAATTTTTTTTTTGTCCCATGTGTTTCAGATGATTCTACGCAATTAAGTGCGCAATTCTGTTGAGTGCCTACTTCAAGTGGCTGCAACTTCTTTGATTTTGTTGTCTAGAAATTCAAAAACATATTTGAAATGTCGCTAAATAATATAACAAAACTATTCAAAAATAATCAGAAGTTTTCTCCACAAAAAAATCTTCAAAAACACTTTTTTTTGTCCGTTATCATTAGCGATAATAAAAGAGTGAACAGTAACGGGCCAAGATGACTTCCTTGAGGTACGCCAGATGTAGCACGGACCAAGCGGAAATGTATATTTATAAATTAGACTCTTTGTGTTCTTTCATTTAAGTAGCTGGAGATCCACGTTAGGCGGTCTGTAGAAAAACACAGCATATTCAGTTTATTCAACAAGAATGAGGGTTTTACTGCTCAAAAGCAAATCAAAAGCTTTGCTACGGTCTGTTTAAATAACATAAGTTTGAAAACCCTTTCAAAAGCCATCTATGACACAGGAGGTCATGATGAGCCATCTACATGGAGAGATGATCGAAGAGCAAAGGTGTTGCAAATGAAGAGTAATTAATTTTTCAAATAATTTTGGAATTTCCGACAATTTAGGGAGAAAATTCGAGGTTTCCAAAGATAAGTTGAAAATCTATGAAGAGGTTTGCACAGAGCCCTGTAGCAGTATTTTAGCACACAGCTTGGTACTCCATCGAGGCCTGGCGAATAAACGGGTTTGACCCTTAGAAGAACAGATAATAAGGTATTCCCGGGAAAAAACTGACAGAAAATAAGATTTTCTGATTGAATGTTGTATGCGTAAGGCTAATCTGTCGTTTTAGGCGAAGAATAAGTTGCTTGAAAAAATACTGCGATTAGACTGGCAATAGCCTGATCAGAGGTAACAGATGGAAAAGATACATGTTTACGTTTAATGTTTACAAAGTTATAAACTGCTTCCGATCCTGAGTAAATCGTATCTGACAGCAGCGAATATAAAACCTACAACATTCAGCATTGTGCACGGTAAAATTTGACCGAGCTAGTATATATCTTGAAAAATGTATACTACTATAGGTTATTTTATATTTAAATAAGAGCCTGTTTTTAGTATTATTTAAGTTCGTGAGACACCTTGTAAGCCAAGGAGGATTTGTTGAAGCGGACGGATATTTCCATGACACACATGAGTTAAAAAATGTATTTAAGGTATGGTAAAATTTTTCTAAGGTGACGTTTACATCGGTGCATGCCAGAATATCGGACCAATCATATGTATCGATAGGCAACTAAGTTTGTGAAAATCAGCTTTACGGAAGCAGCGAATCTTATTTGCCACGCATGGAGACATCTGATCGATACCAGGAATGGTTTCGATTGAGACCTCCAGCGTGGGGCGATATGAATCCTCTGGGGTTAAAAGTGGATAGCTTTGGATGGAGTGGTAGAATCAAAATCATTTACACAACATAAGTCTAAAAGCCGTCTTAACGAATTTCTAAAATTTCTAACAAAATTGACCTAGGGATATGTCAAACATGCCCGCGGAGAAGTCATGGTGCGTGATAAGTAAAAATAGTGAGTTATCGACATAAGATCACTTTAATTCTGGGATATTAAAGTCACTCAAATCTTCAAGCTGGTCACGATCGGTCATAAGTTTAGAAACGAATTAAATAGCGGACAAATGATGCCACTATGTAGGTGGTTCAGACGAAGGCGGTATATATAAAC